AAATGGAGCAACTTTTTTCGCAATAGTGCCTGTACAAGTTATTATGCCCACTGTGGCAGTGATGGCAAAAAAATTGAGTGCCTAGAAAACTTAAGGTTACTTAATGTAACCCCGGTTCTTTGATAACAGAGTGAGGTGTTTCACTATGGGAATCGCCTTGGGCGTGACCATCCATGGAAGCTCCAATGGCACCACGTCTGTCTTTTGACAGACAGGTTGACAGTACCTAGCACCGCCCACCTACCCTGGTACAGTCAACCTCCTCCTTTTGGAATCATTCAAAAGCGCTTTCTGACCGCTTTGCAAGGAGGGTAATGAAGGTGAAACACCTCACTCTGTTATCAAAGAACCGGGGTTACGTTAAGTAACCTTAAGTTCTTTTTCTAACTTTGTTCGGTGTTTCACTATGGGAGATATGGACAACTCCCGTATTGCAAGAACTGCTCCTGAAGCAAAAGGACCACCGAGGCGCCAGACGGTGACCTCAAACAGTACCAGAAGCACTTGGTTCCAAGACTACCTGAGCCAAAGAGGAGCCAGAAACATCCAGTCAATAAAAACGAACAAAGGTATGCGGCGATGACCAGCTGGCCGCCGCACATACAGTGCCTTGCGAAAGTATTCGGCCCCTTTGAACCTTTCAACATTTTGCCACATTTCAGGCTTCAAACATAAAGATATAAAATTTTAATTTTTTGTCATGAATCAACAACAAGTGGGACACAATCGTGAAGTGGAATGAAATTTGTTGGATAATTTAAACTTTTTTAACAAATAAAAAACTGAAAAGTGGGGCGTGCAATATTATTCGGCCCCTTTACTCTCAGTGCAGCAAACTCAGTCCAGAAGTTCAGAGAGGATCTTTGAATGATCCAATGTTGTCCTAAATGACTGATGATGATAAATAGAATGCACCCGTGTGTGATCAAGTCTCCGTATAAATGCACCTGCTCTTTGATAGTCTCAGGGTTCTGTTTAAAGCGCAGAGAGAACCATGAAGACAAAGGAACTCACCAGGCAGGTCCGAGATACTGTTGTGGAGAAGTTCAAAGCCGGATTTGGATACAAAAAGATTTCCCAAGCTTTAAACATCTCAAGGAGCACTGTGCAAGCAATTATATTGAAATGGAAGGAGTATCAGACCACTGCAAATTTACCAAGACCCGGCCATCCCTCCAAACTTTCATCTCAAACAAGGAGAAGACTGATCAGAGATGCAGACAAGAGGCCCATGATCACTCTGGATGAACTGCAGATAACTACAGCTGAGGTGGGGATGGTGTGTTCAGGATGATGAGCTGTGTTGCTTTTACGCCAAACATATCGTTTTGCATTGTGGCCAAAAAGTTCGATTTTGGTTTCATCTGACCAGAGCACCTTCTTCTACATGTTTGGTGTGTCTCCCAGGTGGCTTGTGGCAAACTTTAAGAGACTTTTATTGGATATCTTTGAGAAATGGCCACTCTTCCATAAAGGCTAGATTTGTGCAGTGCACGACTGATTGTTGTCCTATGGACAGACTCTCCCACCTCAGCTGTAGTTATCTGCAGTTCATCCAGAGTGATCATGGGCCTCTTGGCTGCATCTCTGATCAGTCTTCTCCTTGTTTGAGATGAAAGTTTGGAGGGACGGCCGGGTCTTGGTTTGCAGTGGTCTGATACTCCTTCCATTTCAATATAATTGCTTGCACAGTGCTCCTTGAGATGTTTAAAGCTTGGGAAATCTTTTTGTATCCAAATCCGGCTTTAAACTTCTCCACAACAGTATCTCGGACCTGCCTGGTGTGTTCCTTTGTCTTCATGGTTCTCTCTGCGCTTTAAACAGAACCCTGAGACTATCAAAGATCAGGTGCATTTATACGGAGACTTGATTACACATAGGTGCATTCTATTTATCATCATCAGTCATTTAGGACAACATTGGATCATTCAAAGATCCTCACTGAACTTCTGGAGTGAGTTTGCTGCACTGAAAGTAAAGGGGCCGAATAATATTGCACGTCCCACTTTTCAGTTTTTATTTTTTACAAGTTTAAATTATCCAATACATTTTGTTCCACTTCACGATTGTGTCCCACTTGTTGTTGATTCATGACAAAAAAATAAAATTTTATATCTTTATGTTTGAAGACTGAAATGTGGCAAAATGTTGAAAGGTTCAAGGGGGCCGAATACTTTCGCAAGGTACTGTATATCCTGGACAGACACACCTCGGAACAGGGCCCAAGAAGTGGCAACACCCCTGGTGGAGTGTGCCCTCAACCCCTGCGGTGGAACTATACCCCTGCAGGTATAGGCCAGGGAAATTGCCTCTACAATCCAGTGAGAGATCCTCTGACTGGACACCGGCTTTCCCAAATGGGGAGAAGCCCAGGACACAAACAACTGGTCGGCTTTCCTTAAACCAGCTGTCCTGTCAACATATACCCGCAGCGCGCGCACTGGGCACAAAGAGTGCAGTAGCCGCTCCTCCTCAGAGGAGAAAGGCGGAGGATGGAAGGCATTAAGCTCCAGTGTAGGGCAGCTATATGCAGAATCCACCTTTGGTACAAAAGCCGGGTTAGGGCGCAAGCGCACCTTAGATAACCCCGGCGCAAACTGCAGACACGAGGGGCTGACAGAAAAAGCCTGTAGTTCACTCACGCGCTTTGCAGACGTCAGAGCAAGAAGCAGAACTGTCTTATAAGCAACATACTTCAAGGCCACCGCCCCTAAGGGCTCAAAAGGGTGATGACAAAGGGCATCAAGCACGACCGACAAATCCCACAAGGGAACCAGGGACTTAACCACTGGAAGTTTACGTCGTGCACCCCTCATGAAGCGACAAACTAGAGGGTGCTGTCCCACAGTTTTGTCACCGATACCCACGTGGCACGCCGATATGGCAGCCAAATAGACCTTTATAGTAGAAAAAGCCTTACGCTCTTCTAACAAATGTTGTAAAAAACATAAGACGTCAGACACGGAGCATTGGAACGGGATGATCTGTCTAGCCCCACACCATTCCTCAAAAACCCGCCACTTGCAGCTATACAAAGAGCGAGTGGAGGAGGCCCTAGCACACTGCATAGTATCTATAACAGGCGCCGGAAGACCCGTGGCGTTCAAGTTCCACCTTTCACGGGCCAGGCCCAGAGAGCCACCCGGTCTGGGTGAGGATGAAAAATCTCCCCGCCCGCCTGGCACAACAGGTCCCTCCGCAGAGGAAGAGGCCATGGGTTGTCCCATAAAAACTGCACTATCTCCGCCATCCATGGCTTGGACAACCAACGGGGAGCAATTAAAATGAGCGACAGCCTCTGTTCTCTCACCCGCGCTAGGGTGGGTGAGATCAGACTGATGGGAGGAAACGCATATAGTAGAACGGTCGGCCACGGGTGGGCCAGAGCGTCCACGCCCAGAGACGCGTTTGCGTCTCCCAGAGAGAAGAACAGTGGGCACTTTGCGTTTTCCCGCGAGGCGAAGAGATCTACGGCAGCCCGACCGTATCTCCGCCACAACTGCTCCACCACCTGAGGGTGGAGAACCCACTCTCCGTACAGGGGGTTTCCCCTCGATAGCAGGTCGGCCCCCTTGTTGAGGACGCCTGGAACATAAGACGCTCGGAGAGATAGGAACCTTGTGTCGCTCCACAAAATCACCCTCTGTGCCCGCCTGTGCAGCTGAAGAGAGCGGGTACCACCCTGGCGATTTATGTACGAGACAACTGTTGCATTGTCTGTTCTCACCAGAACGTGACGGTCCTGAAGGAAAGGCAGAAAACGCTTCAGAGCTAGATACACCGCCCAAAGTTCCAGCACATTGATGTGCCTCTGGGCTAAATGTGGGTCCCAGGTCCCATTCACCGTCCGACCCGACAGAGTGGCCCCCCACCCTGACAGGGAAGCGTCGGTTGTCAGGGTAACCCTTGACGACACGGCGCCCAGCGGGACTCCGGCTGAAAGAGCATGATGAGCCTCCCGCCACGGACGTAGTGCAATAACACACTGGGAATCCACCTTCACTCTGCGGTGAAGGTGACGTTTGGGACACAAGCGCAACGCTGTGATCCAACGTTGAAATGGTCTCATCATTAAAAGCCCTAGGCGCACGACAGATATTACTGACGCCATGAGACCAGCGAGGCGCAGGCACGTTCTGAACGTGACTGTCGCACCCGGGTTGAAAAACGCCAAGCAGCGAGTGAGAGACAGCCGTCTCTCGTCTGTCAGTGTGGCTCGATGTGAAACAGAGTTTATGCATAAACCCAGGTATTGAGTCTGCTGTCTGGGTTCCAACCGGCTCTTTGCGTGGTTTATTCTGAAACCCAGGCTGGTCAAGTGACTGAGCACTGTGGCAGTCTCTCTCACTGCGGCGCCCTGTGAACTGGCGCATATCAGATAATCGTCTATATAAGAGAATATCCGTATTCCCCTGGCCCGGAGAGGAGCCAGAGCTGCCTCCACACAAGTGGTGAACACCCGTGGAGACCGAAGGGAAGGACCTGGTACTCGTACGCTGTTCCCCCGTGAGCAAAACGGAGAAATTTCCTGTGCGCTGGATGCACCTCGATGTGGAAATATGCATCCGCAAGATCGATTGTGGTGAACCAATCCCCTTTGCGTATTGAACGACACAGAGCTTTGTGCGTCAACATTTTGAATCTGAATCTCCGTAGATGTGTGTTCAAAACACGGAGGTCTAGAATGGGACGCAGTGACAGAGAGCCCTTCTTTGGAACCAGAAAGTAGCGGGAGTAGAAGCCCAGCTGAGACTCGCTCTCTGGTACAATGCGGATAGCGTGCTTGCTTAACAGGGATGTAATTTCGTCCTGTAAGACACGGGCTGCGTCCCCTAAAGCCACTGAAACAAGTACTCCGTTGAAGGAGGGTGGTTTTATAGCAAACTGCAGTCTGTAACCTTGAGAAACAGTGGATTGAACCCAAGGATTGACTGCGCATGCGCGCCACTGCTCCGCTCTGACAGAGAGTGGGGCTTGCACCAGGGGAATCCCTGGTGACGTCACTCCCCTGAGAGGAGCAGAGCCTTCTGCCTGAGAAGGAGCGTGAGCTCCCTCTGGAGGCGAACGAAGGGAATGATCCAAACTTAATTGAATTTTTTTGTTTGATTGATAACTCACCCTTAGCACTTGGCCTGGATGCGAGTTTAACAACTTTATTTTTTTTTTTGAAAAAGTGTTTTGTGAACATGAGACCCAAGACTCATTCCCTGTAACGTGCGAGGGGAGAGAAAGCCAAAGAGGTCGCCTGGAGAACTGTGCGGGGCCTCTGAACTGGTACCAGGGTCCATTCTCCTCCTTTTCAGAGGGGGAACAGGTGAAGAAGCTTGATTGCTAGGAATTGCGCTTCTTTTTGCTCTCCCCGGGCTGAGAAGAGCGGTTTTTTGCTGCAGCCGCAGCATAGGAGTGTTTTCCCCATGGTCTGGAGTTGCCTGGCCGTTGCTGCTGGCCAGAATGCTGGTTGGAATGCTGGCCAGGGTGCTGGGTTGCCCCCCTCTGCGGCCCAGGGCCCGCCCTGGGAACCCTGGGGCCTGTCTGTCCAGAGGGGCCCGCTCTCTGAGGCTGCGCTGGACGAGGAGGTTATTTCCTTGGCAGACAAAGATTAAAGGCCGCACCCTCCTCTTTACGGAGGGTACTGGTCTCCTTCATCTTCTCCAGGGCCGGACCAAATAGACCTTTGGTAGGGTCATAAGCAGTGTCCATAACTTCAGCCTTCTGAGCGTCTGTCAGACCTGAGTGGTTGAGCCATAGACCCCTCTCACCCGCTACGGCCAGCCCCATGACATGGCCGCAGCCCTGGACAGCTCCACGAGTAGAGCGTAGGATGAGGTCATTTACCACGCAGATTTCCTCCCAGAGGACCGGGTTAGGAGACCCGGAGTCCAGCTGTTGTCCCATTTCCTCAAGTAGTTCCCCTTGATAACCGGACAGTAAAGTCACAGTATTCAGTACGCATGCAGATTGAGAAGCATATCTGTACATGCGTTGCAGAATGGAGGATGTAACTCTCTCTGATTTTGCGGGCAGGGAAACCTGACTTGAGGCTGAGACGGAACGGCGATTAGGATGGAGGTGAAAAGCCACTGAAGGCTCCACCGCTGGGGGTTCGGCCAACCCCAGCTCCTTCATCACATGGATCTCCAGCTTTGAATAGCCCTGTACAGGAAGCTTGCTCCTAAGTGGGTTATTCCAAAACCTACCCACCTCTCTCATGCATGCGCTGACAGCAGGGAGAAGTTGCTTCGGAGGTGGATGCGCTGGCGGGAGCCGTTTACCGTCATATAAATCCCTTTCCCCATCCTCCGCATCTACAGCGGCTGGCCAGGTTATGTTAAGCTTGGCGGCAGCGCGCTTGCACACATCATATAGGCTGCTATCGACGGGAGTCGCAGCCTCAGATGCGCTGGAGGGTCGGGACTGGGCCGCTGGGAATGTAGAGTCCTCCTCCACATCATCCATATCCACAGCCTCGAGGAAGTCAGAAGCGGCATCATCGCCGTCTGCGCCCTCGTCGCCTGGGTCCACTTCGAGCAGGTCCTCGAATAATGGCGGCATATCAGCGTCATCGTCATTCAGCATATCTGACCATAGTTCAGTCTTACGGGGCTGTTGAGTGACGGCTGTGGGTTTATCGGTGGTCCCCGCCAGCAACGGGTCCTGGGGATGAGCCACCGCAACTCTGAGCCTCCTCTCCAATATTTTCTCAGGCATAGATGAGCAATACCCGCAGGACTCGCGGTCAGCGAGCGCTGCCTGAGCGTGTTTAGCGCCCATGCAGGTTATGCACATTGGGTGAGGGTCCCTGCCTGAGATGGCAGACCCGCATGACGCGGGACATGAGCGGGATGCAGCCTCCTTCGGCTTCGGATCCGACCCTTTGGCGGGGGTGGTAGCCGTAGACATGCCTGACAGAGAGCAGAGCTGGAGTGAGCACGATTGTATGAACCAGACAATTCGAGTTTTAAGTCGAAAAATTAGGTCCAGGCAAATTCGGTTCGCCACAACACGTTAACAGAACCGCGCACTACAATCTGTTGGCCAGTAAATTAATACTAACCAACCGAACAGAAGGACTCCGCTTTACGCGAGAGCCCTGGGTTAACAAGTGAATGCTAACCGCAAGGTGATAGGGCAGACCGCAACTTAATGTGATCTGTCCCCGTAAACACAAGAGCAGTTCGCCTTGACGCGGTCACTGCTCCGGTAACAAAATAATAATAGCTTAGCGGTAAGACTGTAAGGACTTACCCAGCGTCGGTGAACCAAAGCACCAGCAACTGCGCTCGCCAACGAAATCCTTTACGGCTCGTCTGTGAACTGTTAAGCAGAAGCTAGCCTAAGGTCCGAGAACGCTGAAGGAGCTAAAAGATATGGTTTCCACGCGGGAAGAAAGCGAGAATGATTCCAAAAGGAGGAGGTTGACTGTACCAGGGTAGGTGGGCGGTGCTAGGTACTGTCAACCTGTCTGTCAAAAGACAGACGTGGTGCCATTGGAGCTTCCATGGATGGTCACGCCCAAGGCGATTCCCATAGTGAAACACCGAACGAAGTTAGAAAAAGAACCCTTGATATTTTTCACACCATAATAATGATTATGATGTAGGAAAAAATAGTGGGTTGTTTTCTGTGGCGCGGTTGGTGTTTGAAAAGTAATTAGGTGGTTTTTTTTCACTGTCGGGGGAACGGTAGAAAACAACTATTTTGCAACGTAACAACTCTTCAAATTTTACAATGTCCGGAAATGTGACGTCTGCATCAAGGGATAAACCAGCCCGTGAATGAATTTTATGACCTTTGATTATGGCCTCTGTGGTTGACAGAGAGGGGTTTGTCAACAGCAAAACATGTTTGATCAGAGTTGTGAACTATAAAAATATGTTTTGCTTTTTTAAAAATAATTTCTGAATCGAGACAAGATTCGAATCGTCTTTTACCACCGCCCCGAGGCGCTCTCACAATCTGGATGGTTAGCGTAAGAGTTTCATCGTTGTAAATATTATTATTACTTTGGACTAGACGCGATAAAAGATCTTGAAATTCAGACGCTAAAGTGTCACCATAGAGGACCGTCATTGTCACATCTGTTTGTAAACTAGCGGCCCCCAGACTAACCTGAATGCGATCGTTAGGTAAAAGTCCGACCGTCACTATGGCTCTTGAAACGGTATTGTTAAATCCATTTGTCACATTCTGGAAAAACTGAGGGAAGTCAGCTGTTGGAGTCTGATGAAAACGCAGGGTTGTGGTGATCTCAATATTGTTGAATTTACCACGTCGTTTGACCTTTTCAGTACTTGTATAACCCGTATCATCGTTTTCAGACATTTCATCATGGTTGTCATACACTAAACCGCCGCCCTGATGCGAAGTTGAGGGCTGCTGAAAATCTGGCTCAAAGTGGGATGTGGAAGGCTTAACTTGTACACCTCTTTCAACAGATTGCTCAAATGTGTCTAATGAGTCCACACACATTGAATCAGCGGGGGACCACGGCCCCTCCTCAACATCAGTGAGCGTTCTCTCATAATGATCTACTGCATTTAGACATTGTGTATCGCTGGGACTTGCAGGATTCAATTCTAACTCACGATTGACTTGTGTTGGTGGGTGGTGACGGATATCTAAATGACTGTATATCGTTTTGCAGTTGGGATTCAGTTGGAAGGTAGACTGGAGCCGCGTTCTCATATTGGTTGATTGTCGGACTGCCTTGTTCACTGTTTGTAGAATTACTGGTGACATTTGTTTCAGCATTTAACTCAGAGATGAGCCGGAGAAGATCCGGGGGTACATTATATGATTCAGCCATTTAAAAAAAATAAAAATACAGAGTCATTGGCATAAGAGTTCCATGAGTCAGCACAGCTACTGCGAACAGCCCGAACAGTATAACATGTGTGCCTAGGCCTGTCACGATAACAAATTTTGCTGGACGATTAATTGTCTCAGAAATTATTGCGATAAGCGATTATATTGTCGTTCTGAGATCATTTGCATCGATTAGAATGATAATGCAGGTACACCTTTTCAAAGAGAATAAACTTTTATTTTTAACGAATATTTAACGCTAGAACACAATAAATTAACAAACAACCAAAAACAATAAATAACATAGACTCAGTCTCTTAACAAAAAATGACCAGGAATAAAACTGCCAGGACCTTTGTAAAGAAAATATGAAACAGATGCCTCAAATGTCAATAATTTCTCAGACTTTATGACAGATTACAAGAAAGAAATACCAACATGTTGACTTTGTGTGGCTTAAGACAGGATCTCTCAGGAGTAGTCCCACCTCCCCACACACCACCAGGCGAATGACAAGTGACTGACATGTGGGTTCACCAATGGGGCGTACAGAAGTCCTGCTGCGGTAGCGCCCACCGGAAGTAGCGGGGCGGGCTTTGATGCTAACAGCTAAGCTAGCGGGTTTTTTGCGTAAAGTTCTACTCCAAGAATGCAAGTCTGCAGCATCTCTGTGTTCAGAGACCTTCTAGAGACTCTATATAACAGCAGTATGTGTTCACGGAGGTGCGCCATAAGTTTATTTTATTGGTATGGTACGGTACTTCTGCATCGGCGAACACGCTAACGCTAGCTGCGCTAGTATAGTCACTAATCAAGCCTGAATGAGAACTCAGCTGCCGGCATATGTTCACAACTACTGTGTCCCCCATTGTCAATCCTGGTTAAGTCCTGGTTTAGGTCCTGTTTTGGCTGTATTTTGTATTTTTGAGTAATTTCCGTCTGCTTGCTAGACCGCTAATGTTCCCGTGACCACTTTGCGGCTCTCTGACCCGAGAGAGAGGGGGAGAGAGAGACGGGAAAAACAAACAAGCTGCAAATGGAATTTATCGCGGCCAGAAAAGTTATTGAGCAAATTTTATTTATCGTGCGATTAATTGATTTATTGACTATCGCGACAGGCCTATGTGTGCCTATACAGATTATCGCGTAGGGGGCTCACCGATTGCTGTTTTCAGTAGTTCAGTTTGCTGGAAGACTTTGGTAATGCTGCTCCGATTCACACTTGAGGTGGTTTGGTTGTTCCAGGGCTTTCATCAGATGTCGGTCTGGGGATCCTCTGCTGACTAGCCGATCGGGGGGATCCAGATGATCTGTTGGAGAATGTTATTGATTAGTTTTAAACACACATAGAAAATAATAATAATAAAATAAAATCTGATTACTTTTTCCCAGTTGAAATGTAGATTCTGAGATCTTTAAGAATGAGTGAATCTTCTTCTCCAGTGGTCTGAAACTAAAAGAAGACGGGGTTAATGCCTTACACTTTAGATATAATAAAACAGTGATGCAGGGAGTGTGTGTGCGAAAACGCACACACACACACACATTCTTTTCAGAGTCTAGGGGGGCATGCTGGACGCATAGAGGGAGAGGGTGGGGGCTATACCGACACACACACACACATTATTTTCAGAGTCTGGGGGGGTGCATGCTGAACGCACAGAGACATGGAGGGGAGAGAGAGGCTAGGCGCACACACACGTAAGGGATAGAAAAAAGAGACAACAGTAACTTATCGTGTAAATAGCAAAATTCAATTACTCACAGAGGTGTGGTATGGCTTAACTCAAAACTGGAAGGTGCAGTCTTCTCAATCTGGAGATGCAGACTCTTCTTGATGCTGGAGGTGGAGAATCTTCTCAATCTCGAGGTGCAAACTCTTCTTGATGCTGGTCAACTCCGATTAATCTCATGGGTCCAGTATTTATACTCATAGGAGATGAGATAGACCCAACCCACAACCTAGACTTATCAATTGTCTCAATTTTAGCACGGAAATTATTCTCTCCCTGCAGATGCCTTCCTTTTAAGAAAGTTTTCTTTTGAAAAACACGCGGGAAGATTTTCTCCCCTGTCATTGGGCCTATCAATTGTCACTATTTTGTCACCATTTTTACATACTGACATATGTTCTTACCTTACCTTAGACTAGTTAATATGTACCTGTCTGGTCTTAGTCCGTGCGCTCTGTCATGCAAATGGAGCAAAAACGGGAGCACAAACGCAGCCTCCTCTGTATACTGTATAGTACCCAAAAGGTAGCTCCCGCTAGAAGCTACCAAACTCTTCCAAGTGTTCCCTATTAAATGTATATAGTTACGTGACGTGTTACACTGCAAAGTATAGTAACACAGAAATGTAACTGTCAATTTTCTCAGCGGATAAAACGGGTACTATATTGTGAGGCGTAGTAATCTGAGGAGCTCTAGGTCCGCGCACTAACTTCTCTCCGTACTACAAGTCACGCTGCTTCTATTGACGGAAGTGAGCGAGAGAGAAGTCTCCGGAGAGAAGTTAGTGCGCGGACGTAGCGCTCCTCAGATTACTACGCCAGATTACTAAGGTTAAGGTTGCACACTATTATGTACAAAACTGATGAAAATATATTTATACCTTGTTCAGATGACAGTGAAACCTCCTACAGTTTCCAGCCCAGACTGCTGTCTGCTGCTGTGAGAAGTCATTCTACGTCATCGCCGCCATTTTGGCACCCCCTAGCGTTTGTTATAAGGTGCCACTTCAAAGCCGTTTTTTAAACATAATTCATCTGAATATGTCAAAATGAACACCCGAAATATTATAAACACATATTGTAGTTATATATTCTGGATAGCAGCATATTAAATTCTAGTACTACTTTAACCCCCAGCCTCTGCTTCATTACCTCCCTACACTCACTATATCCCCTGTAATGTAACAGCACGTGCTCTACAGACTCCTCCTGCTCTTCACATCCCTCACAGAGCCCCGTCTCATGCTTCCCTATGATACACAGTGTTTTATTCAGCGCACAATGCCCCAATCTAAGCCTAGTCATGACCATTTCTTCCCTCCGATGGCCCCCCTGCCTTCTGCCATCGCTCACCTCTTTCTGT